ATGAAAAAAAAAAAAAAAAAAGCTGAAAGATTCCTAGATCTGATAAACAACCTCAGCAAAGTTTCAGGACACAAAATCAATGAAAAAATATTAGTAAATCATACACCAATAACATTCACACTGAGAGCCAAATAAGAAACACAAACTCATTTATTATAACCACACACAAAAATGAAATACTTAGGAATGTATTTAATACCCAGATTTAGGCCAACCTGAAATATTTATCTCAGTCATACCTACCCAGTTTCCCAGGCCCAAACCATTAAACAAATTTCACAAGCCTTGAGAATCTGCCTTAGAAAGCCAAGAAGATTTCCCCTTGTTTCCATATTGACCATTCTTCTTGGCCTCAGAGGCATTAATGCAGGTAGAGAAATATTTCTTATCAGTTGCACAGAATTTGCCTTGGCAAGGAGGAAATGTGTAGTGCAATTCTAATCAGCCATAACAATCCTGGCCAATAAATTGAGACTTATCTGAATACCTTCCAAGATCAAGGTGATGTTTCCTTAAGCACTGGATGTTTAACGCTCTTATAACCAGCTCTACAATGCAATTGCATTGTTTATAGGATGGAGACAAGTTAATGCCTGGCTTCTACATAAGAAATGTAATCCTTAAGGGACACATGGTACCCTCAAAAGAGAAATGGTTTTTTACATTTGATGGGGTCCCTAAGTGGAATCTACTACATAAATTCAAGGTTGGGGATGGTACAGGTTGACAACGCCTCCCACATGGGTTCTCAGTTCAGTCCTAATAATCAAGTTTAGTTCATGTATTTAGAGTGACTGACTGTTTGTGGGCAGTTAGTCCAACCTAATCTGTTTACCATGCCATCATCCACATAGCATTTGCCTCTATTTCACAGAATGAGCACCACAGAATGAGCAATGGAAATAGGGGTGGGGAATATATCCAAGTGTATTGACAGATGTTTTACATGACTGACACAAGTGCTAAGCCACCTCTGCTGTTTCTGACAGACTTTTCAGTATTCATTATTAAGGGGAATAATGATTAAATTGTAGTCAGTTCTCACTGACAGGGGATGGCAGTCCCAGAAGTCAGTTATATTATAAAGGCTCCTTTGATAGTTTGGGGTAGCTACATCAGGGCATTTTTCTTTCAGAGGAAGGTTAGAGGGATAGTTATGAAAGAAAAAAGATCTTCAGTATTCCTCCTACTCCCCATACCTCCCAGAGTCAGATATTTTTTCCCCAGGTGTTTGCGTTTTTGCTCTCCCTGTACTGTGACAAAAGTAGTATGTCTCATTTCAGTAGTTTTGTGGGGTTTTTTAGACAGGTCTTGCTCTTTTGTTCAGGCTGGAGTACAGTGGCATAATCATGATTCACTACAGCCTTGATTTCCTGGGCTTATTCTCCTGCCTCAGCCTCCCAAGGGACTACAGGTATATGCCACCATCCCCAGCTAACTGTTTTGTATTTTTTTAGAAATGGCATTTGCCATATTGCTCAGGCTTGCCTCTAATTCCTGGACTCAAGCAATCCACCTACCATGGCCTCCCAAAGTGTTGGGATTACCAACGTGAGCCACTGTACCCAGCATTTCAATAGTTTTCATCATAGTTATTTTCCAAATATTCCTTACTTGCACCCACACCTTTTATCCTGAAGTGCTAGATGCAAGATAGACAAGGATATTTTTATAAAACTTACGGAGAACCATTATATCCTCCTCTTTGGCCTGCTTGGGCCACTGTAGAAAAATTAATCCAGCAGTGTATTCAACCAAGTACAGTAGTTGTCCTATTCTTATAATCTAATACCGATACAGGAGTTAAGAAGAAATCACTTAGGCAGATAGTAAGGGTATGGGAGTCCTCAGTAAGGCTTTTCTCTATAAGGCAAAGCTGCCCTAAATCATTTTCTAACAAAGAGCAGCCTGTAAAGTCGAGCTGCAGACATAGACAAGCAAGCTGGGAGCTTGCAGAGTGAATGCTGGTAGGAACTAGGGACTAGACATGTTCAAGATGTCAGCTCCATCTTCCCTTCTCTTTGTCAGCCACATGTACTATAAGGAGCAGACAAGATGGTGATGATCAACTGGAAAGCCCATTTGCATAATAAGATTAGGGTGGGGTGACCAGCCCTCCCTGCTCACTATGTACCTGATCTAACCAACCTGTGAGCACTATGTAAATCAGACATCACCTCCTCAAACCTGACTATAAAATTTGGTGCATCCATTGCTAGTTGGTCCTTTCCACTCCATGACCCCTTTCTCTGCAGGGAAAGCTGTTTCTCTACCTATTAAACCTCTGTTCCTAAACTCCTCATGTGTGTCCATGTCCTAAATTTTCCTGGTGCATGACAACAAACCTCAGGGTATATATGCCAGGCAATGTAGCCACTTCAATACCATGTCAATCCAAGATAATTCAGGTAGTTAAACCATAATTAAATTCAAATTCCCTAGGCCCCATTTTAGTTAGCCTGCCACCTGGAATATGTACAAACGGGTGACCTGGGTTGTCATTGGGGAAAGAAAGAAGCATCTTGCTCAGAAAGGTTAGGACTGAATGCCAGATTTTCAAAATGGGTGTGTATAATACCTCATCTCTTTCATACTGCTCATTACCCAGGAAGCAGATGAAAGGAAATGATTGCTTTCTGAGGACACTCATATTCAATGACCAGACTTTCTTGGTAACCATCAAGGGACAATGGTGTAGCTGGAATCAGCTGATTGGACTGGTCAGTGAGGCACCATCGATGTCCTCAAGAGAGGGGATTAAAGATTTGACGTAGTCAATCTACCAAGAGTCTGTGGGAGTCATGCCCTGTTAGGGCTTCCCCCATTCACTGTAAGACAACTGCATCGACTTTTGGCAGGTATCAGATGTCTGGTATGTAGTAGTAGATTCTGTATCAGAAACATGCAGTTCTTTATTTTGTACTATTTTAGGATGGTGAACATGTTGCAGTGTCCAGTATGACATATCCATATAGCAATTATGACAATCTGGGTAGGACAGACTCAGCCAATTGATTCTGGACAATCTTATCAAATTCTCACCATTGGTCCATTAGCACTTACATAATTTTGTCAGTAGCCATCATTTGTTTCCACAGTTTACAGTTCTGAAGAAAGGTATCATTGATCTTCTAGTCTGTGATTTTCCAAGTGACAGACCAAAAAGCTAGTTTACTGACAAGCCCCAGCAGTCATAGTTCTGCCCACTGAACAGAGTGAATAAGTCTGCTTTTGATTCTTCATGGCTGACTCTGAGGTTGAACAGTAAGTCATCAGGTTTCAGCTCAGTTGACCCATCAATAAATCAGACCCAGGCATTTATTGAAATCTTTGTGAATCTAGATCTCCATTGAGCCAGCAGTTTTGTTTCAGGCAGTAAAGTTAGGAATAAAGTTTACCCAGAGGGATAGTTGTCACTCTTTCATGAATCACCATGGCCAAGCTAGCTGCATTCTTGAATATACAAGTTCCACTGGATAAGGTTTTTTGGGCTCTTCTCACTTTGCCATATATAGTGGCTGGGACTGTCAGATCAGAGAAACATAAGGCCTCCGTGAGGGAGACAGTAGCATAACTGAAAATATATTTTAGCTTTATCCATATTTGATTTTATTGTATTATATAATACCTTATTAAAAACAATAATTCCTTTAATGCTGTTAAAACAGTCCAGAAGAGACTGTGAGGATCCAAGTATGTTAATACAGACCACTATAACAAAATAACATAGACTGGTTAGCTTAAACAACAGATATTTATTTCTCATAGTTCTGGAGACTAGGAAGTCTAAGATTAAGATACTGGCAGATCTGGTTCCTGGTGAAACCCCTCCTCCTGGTTTGCAGACAGTCACCTTCTTGCTGTGTCCTCACATGACAGAGAGAGGAATGGAGAGATAGCACTCCAGTTTATCTTTCCTTTCCCTTTCCCTCTTTCCTTCCTTCCTTCCTTTTTTTTTTTTTTTTTTTTAGACAGGGTCTCACTCTGTTGCCCAGTCTGGAATGCTGTGGCAATTGTAGCTCACTGCAGCCACCTCTCAGGCCCAAGTGATCCTCCTGCCTTAGCCCCTTGAGTAGCTGGGACTACATACATGAGCCACCAAGTCTAGCTAATTTCTATACATTTTGCAGAGACACGGCTTCACTACATTGCCCAGGCTTATCTTCCTTTTCCTTTAAGGACACGAATTCCATCATGGAGACTCTACCCTCAACCTCATCTTACCTAATTATATTCCAAGGGCCCCACTTCCAAATGTCATACTAGGGATTAGAGTTTCAACATATAAATTTGGTGGGGAGTAGGGGAGACACAGACATTCAGTCCATAACACCAATAAAAGGTAGTTGTGGTTGGAATGGAGAGAAGATGAAATCAAATTGTTTTATAGGATATGAGGGGATTTAAAAAAGCAAATATTCTACATTGGACAATTGGTATATAATGGTTTTATTTAGTAGATTAGGGAAATAAGAGAAGGAATAAGTTTGAAAACAAGGTATAGGTTGGATTATGTTTGACAATCATATGAGACACACAGGTAGAAATGTTTAGTAGACTATTTGAAATTTGACCCTGGCACTTAGAAACAAAGACTAGGGAAAATGTATAAGTTAGGAAGTATTAGGATCCAGGTCATAGTTAAAGACCAGATTGTTGAGATTGGATAGGGACAATATGGAAGAAAGAGACAAGAATGAATTAGGGAAGATTAACATGGAAAAGAGAATCAGAGCTCAAGAAAAGAGAAGAAAAGTATAAGAAGAAAAGAGAAGTGGAAAATGAGATAAACTCTTAAATATCAATAAATGAAAATTATTCTTTGAATTTTAAGATTAGATTTCTGACGATTTTAGCATTAGCCTAGTCAATGAAAGCAGAAGTCAGAGTACAGTGGATTCAACAATAATTTGAAGGAATAATCAATGGATATAGAGATGTATTTATAAAAAAAACTTAAAATTGTTAATGAATGAATAAATCTGTAAATTTTGTTTTAGGTTTGTGTTGGTGTAATGTTAGTGGGCCCAACAGGTGGAGGAAAGACAACGGTCAGAAAAATTTTGGAAAAAGCATTAACACTGTTACCAATTGCAGACTTCTCATCAGTTGCAGAAAGAAAATTTGCTTCAAAGGTAAATGTTTTGTTAAATAAAATGTTTCTCTATTTGTTTATATTTTATCTTACACTTTAGTTAATGTTTTGTGTTCCCTTTTTGTTGGTGTTTTCATTACTTATTAAACTTGTTGCTAGGAATTTTGTAGTTAAGAATCATAATGAGTGGAATTTTTCAATTAAATCTCAAACTGGTCATTACCAGTTTTTTAAAAAAACTATTGTATATTTATTTTGTATGTAGACACCTTAATAAATGAACTTTTAATTTCTGATTTTTTAAGGTGTCAATTGAATTATCTTCAAATTAAAATAATTTTGTCTTTTTGACTATTTATATAACTTCAATTCTCATCTCAAAGAATTAACTTTCCAAGACTATGTTAACTATAATAGTTGTTCCTTACTTTATCTGGAATGTATTTAACATTTCTTCACTTAATATGATGTTTGATCTTGGTTGCTGATAAACATTCCTTTACATACTTTGGAAATTTCTATTCCCATTACACTTTCGTTTTTTGGCTGTTGGAATTTATTAAATTATTTTCAGCATCTTTTTTTTTTATCTTTTAACTGGTTAATGCAATAAACTATGTTGATTTGTTAACATTAACTTGTCCTTGAATTCCTTGCATATTGCCTACTTAGTCATTATATATTTTTATTCAGTATAAAGTCAGACTTCACTAAATAGTATATATTTCAATTATCTTATTTAATTATTTATTGTTGGTAACATATTCCAAATATTTAGCAATTCAAGTTCCTGGTTATGTGGATTTTTTTTTCAGTTAGTGGGAAATATCCTGCTTCACGATGATACATGTGGTAGTTCATAATTTTTTCTCTTTTTCCTCCATGCAAATTTTCCTTCTTGAAAAATCTCAATTAGTTCTTATGCAGTTATTGTAACTAATAAAAGGTGAATTATCACAGCAATAATAATAATAACTAATATATATGGGCTACCTAAAAAGGGCCAAGCAGGGTGCTAAAACACTTTTGCTTGAATTATTTAATTCTCACAACAACTGTAAAGACAGTAATTTGCTTTATTAAAAACAGCTTTTAAGTACAAAAGTAGTATGTATAATTGTGAGAAATTTGGAAAATAAAATATGAAGAAATAATAATCACCTAGAATAATAATACAGTAAAATATGAAAACATTGTACTGTATTAGCTTTATTTATTCTATACTAAATATATTTTGAAATAACTGAGATAGTACTATGTATAAGAAATCTTAGTTTTTCCAACCTTGGAATTTTCACCTAATGTTATATGCTGAAAATTAACCTCATGTTGTTAAACATTTCTGACAAATATCCCAATTACTGTATTCTGTATATATGAGTATACTATAATTTATTTAATGATTTTCTCATGTTTAATAGTTTTAGGTTTTTGTTTTTCTAAGTTATAACTGTAATAAACATACTTGGGATGATGGTAGGGCCTGAGGTAATGAAATTATTTTGATCATCCTTCTTAGTTTATGACTTTCTTCTCATTGGTCTGTTCAAGACCTTCTTTTTGTTTTAGTTTAGTTTTGTTTAATTTATTTACTTTATTTTCTTACCTTTCTTTTCCCGCCTCATCATAGGAACACTCCTTGCTATATGCCTTTAGATATGTGTGTATCTTTAAAAAATTTTATACCCAAGAATGTAATTGCTGGTTGGCAGGGTATAAGTTCACTATATACTGCCAGGTAAAATTAACACAACATATGGTTAACCATTTTAAAGGGTACATTTTGGTGACATTTAATGCATTCGCAATGTTGTGCAATTACGACCTCTCTCTAGTTTCCAGATATTTGTATCACCCCAGGAAAACACCACTTTCCCATTAAGAAATCACTCCCTATTCTATCTTCCCATTCCCTGGAAGCCACTAATTGGCTTTCTGTTTCTATGGATTTGCATATTTTGGCAGAGATGTATATATAGATATATATCTGAATTGTTTCTACCTTTTGGGTGTAATGAATATTACTGTCGTAAACATTTGTGCATAAGTTGAGTGGACATATGCTTTCATTTCTCTTGGATAGATACTAGTAGTAGAATATAGGTAAAATATTGGATCTTATGGTAATTCTGTGTTTGGCTTTTTGAGGAACCACCAAAATGTTTTCCACAGGAATTACATCATTTTAATTTGCCATTAGCACTGTATGAGACTTTGGTTTCTCCATGTCCTCACCAACATTTATTATTTTCCATGTTATTTTTTATTCTAGTGAATGTGAAGTACTATCTCATTGTACTTTTGATGGTTGAATGCTTTTTATATGCTTATTGGCCATTTGTATATCTTCTCTGGAGACATGTCTGTTCATGTTTCTCCATTTTTAAATTAGATTGTTGTCTTTTTGTTGTTGAGAGTTCTTTTTTTTTGTAGTCTAAATTCTGGGGTACATGTGCGGATCTTGCAGGATTGTTGCATAGGTACACACATGCCATGGTGGTTTGCTGTCTCCATTCCCCCATCACCTACATACATAAGCCATTTCTCCCGGTGTTATCCCTCCCCAACCTCCCTGCCTACTGCTGTCCCTCCCCTACCCCCCACCACGCAATAGACGCCAGTGTGTGCTGTTCCCCTCCCTGTATCCATGTGTTCTCATTGTTCAACACCCACCTATGAGTGAGAACATGTGGTATTTGGTTTTCTGTTCTTGTGTCAGTTTGCTGAGAATGATGGATTCCAGAGGCATCCATGTCCCTGAAAAGGACATGAACTCATTGTTTCTTATGGCTGTGTAGTATTCCATGGTGTATATGTGCCACATTTTCCTTGTCCAGTCTATCATTGATGGCATTTGGGTTGGTTCCAGGTGTTTGCTATTGTAAACAGTGCCACAATGAATATATATGTACATGTGTCCTTAAAATAGAACGATTTGTAATCCTTTGGGTATATACTCAGTAATGAGATTGCTGGGTCAAATAGAATTTCTATTTCTAGATCCTTGAGGATTCGCCATACTGTCTTCCACAATGGCTGAACTAATTTACACTCCCACCAACAGTGTAAAAGCATTCCTATATCTCCACATCCTCTCCAGCATAAGTTGTCTCCTGATTTTTTAATGATCACCATTCTAACTGGCATGAGATGGCATCTCATTGTGGTTTGGATTTGCATTTCTGTAATGACCAGTGATGATGAGCATTTTTTCATATGTTTGTTGGCTGCAAAAATGTCTTCTTTTGAAAAGTGTCTGTTCATATCGTTTGCCTACTTCTGTGTGGGTTTGTTTGTTTTTTTCTTGTAAACCTGCTTTAGTTCTTTGTAGATTCTGGATATAGCCCTTTGTCAGATGGGTAGATTGCAAGAATTTTTTCCCATTTTATTGGTTGCCAGTTCACTCTAATAATTGTTTCTTTTGCTGCACAAAATCTCTCAAGTTAATTAGATCTCACTTGTCTATTTTGACTTTGTTGCCGTTGCTTTTGGTGTTTTAGTCATGAAGTCCATGCCCATGCCTGTGTCCTGAATGGTATTGCCTAGGTTTTCTTCTAGGGTTTTTATGGTGTTAGGTTTTATGTTTAAATCTTTAATCCATCTGGAGTTAATTTTAGTGTAAGGTGTAAGGAAGGAGTCCAGTTTCAGCTTTCTGCACATGGCTAGCCAGTTTTCTCAACACCATTTATTAAATAGGAAATCCTTTCCCCATTGCTTGTTTTTGTCAGACTTGTCAAATATCACATGGTTGTAGATGTTTGATATTACTTCTGAGGCCTCTGTTCTGTTCCACTCGTCTGTATCTCTGTTTTCCTACCAGTACCATGCTGTTTTGATTACGGTAGCTTTGTAGTATAGTTTGAAGTCAGGTAGTGTGATGCCTCCAGCTTTGTTCTTTTTGCTTAGGTTTGTCTTGGCTATGTGGGCTCTCTTGTGGTTCCAGTTGAAGTTTAAAGTGGTCTTTTCCAGTTCTGTGAAGAAGGTCAATGGTAGCTTGAGGGGGATAGCATTGAATCTATAAATTACTTTGGGCAATATGGCCATTTTCACAATATTCATTCTTACTAACCATGTGCATGGAATCTTTTTCCATCTGTTTGTGTCCTCTCTTATTTTCTTGAGCAGTGGTTTGTAGTTCTCCTTGAAGAGATCCTTCATATCCCTTGTTAGTTGTATTCCTAGGTATTTTATTCTCGTTGTAGCAATTGTGAATGGGAGTTTGCTCATGATTTGGCTCTCTGTTAGTCTGTTATTGGTGTACAGAAATGCACGTGATTTCTGCACATGGATTTTGTATCCTGAGACTTCACTGAATTTGCTTATCATTTTAAGGAGATTTTGGGCTGAGACGTTGGGGTCTTCTAAATATGCAATCATGTAGTCTGCCAGACAATTTGACTTCCTCTTTTCCTAATTGAATACTTCTATTTCTTTTTCTTGCCTGATTGCTCTGGCTAGAACTTCCAATACTATATTGAATAAGTGGTGAGAGACGGCATCCTTGTCTAGTACCAGTTTTCAAAGAGAATGCTTCCAATTTTTGCCCATTCAATATGATATTGGCTGTGGATTTGTCTTAAATAGCTGTTATTATTTGGAGATATGCTCCATTGATACCTGGCTTATTGAGGGTTTTTAGCATAAAGGGCTGTTGAATTTTGTCGAAGGCCTTCTCTGCATCCATTGATAGAATCATGTGCTTTTTGTCTTTGGTTCAGTTTATGTGATGGCTTATGTTTATAGATTTGGGTATGTTGAACCAGCCTTGCATCCCCAGGTGAAGCCTACTTGATCATGATGGATAAGCTTTTTGATGTTGTTGCATTTGGTTTGCCAATATTTTATTGAAGATTTTTGCATTGATATTCATCATGGATATTGGCCTGAAGTTTTGTTTTTCAGTTGTGTCTCTGCCAGATTTTGGTATCAGGATGATGTTGGTCTCATGAAATGAGTTAGGAGGGATTCCCCTTCTTTGTATGGTTTGGAATAGTTTCATAAGAAATGGGACCAGCTCCTCATTGTATGTCTGGTAGAATT